GACAGTTAAAGGGTTAACTATATATTTATATATCTGTAAAAAGTCAGTTCGTGTTTCTGTAGCACTTTATACGATGGGGATTGTTTCAAAGCAGCTTCAGCAGTAATAAACAGCAAAATAACAAAAGTTTAAAATAAAATAATATTATATTTTATTATATGATATTTTAATGTTTTAGATTTTATGAACATTTTATTTTATATTTTCAAATAAAATATTGAGCTTTATGTAAGAAAATGTCTATTCTATTCTTCCTTTAGAATTTAATATTTAATTTTCAAACCACCGGATGCACATTGCACACAGATCCAGAGGATTTCCTTCAATTAAAATGCAGCTTCAGGGATGTCAGGCTGCTGAACACGTTTGTATTCATCTGCTGTGTTTTATATGTTTGTTTGGGAAACAGAATAGTGTCTGAAGGGTGTCGTGTTGGCATTATGAGCTCTTCTGTGAAACCCATTACAGCATTATTATTATTATGAAACCCATTTTATTTTTTACCACAGTTCCATGTTTTTTTTGTTCTTTTATTTGTGTAATTCATTTTCATTCTAAAAAAGGTTAATTCATAAAACTTGGAACATTTTATTGGAATTTTAAACGTATCTTTAATGTAGATAAAACAATGAATTTGCAGGATGTGATCCTTCAACATAGAGCTTCATAAAGAATGAGTATTAGTCAAATTTAAAATAAACATTTGAATGTTAGGAGTGCGTCAGGGAGCGTCATCAGTGGCGCGCGAGATGCGGTGATGAGGATGTAAGTGACGTTGTTGCATTTTAATGTTTTGTTAGTCTAGCCCACGAGACGCGCCGCTGCTGCGTTATTCATTCAAAATATTAGAGAAATGCAGAAGCTCAATGCGGAGATGATCTTGATTTGGTTAAAACCAAGCCATTCACACAGAACGCATATTCAGCGCATTTTTAGGCGGACAAATATGTCTGCTGCACTCGCGTCTCACACGAGAGATGTATAGAAAGCCATGCAAAGTTAAAACAGTTTAAACTTTTAGAAAACAC